ATATATATATATATATATATATATATATATATATATATATATATAAAGGTGTTTTAAACCCTTCCAACACTTGCAATATTCTAAACAATGTTTCTAAACTCTAAACGCTCTAAAAGAGCACAGAATGTCATGATTTCCTTCTCTCCGCCTCAGCTGCTCTTTGCCACCTGCAAGCACTCTTGACCATGCCCACTTCTCCGGTCAGCACGGAGAACAGCTGATCAGCTGCAGGAGGAACCTTATACTTCAGTGTGGGGTGTAGCATAGGGCTTTAACAGACTACTCGAGTAATCTACACATCGATTCTTTGGACACCTATCGAGGTTTTTAATTTCACGTCGAGTATTCGTGGTGACGTCATTACGCCGCCGTTACGTCATTGCGTCATGTGCCACATGATCCGCATTGGCGCGGGTTACAAAATGGATTCCTCCAAGCAGACGGGTGGAGCAGAGCAGGCCCAGTCTTGACAAACAGGTAGAAATGCATCAATAGTCTGGAAATATTTCACTAAAGATTAATTTTCTGGTTCAACTACCGTAAGGAAACAGAAAATGAAACAACTTCCTGACTGTTTGGAGCGCGTTGCGAACCGGTGTTACACCATATTTTGTGACAGTAGGGGGTGGTGTTGCATGCACTGTTGCAGGTCACTGAATATGGTGCAACACCGTGTTCAATGACCGAACCGGAACCAGCTTCTGACCTTGTTTCCCAAACAAAAAGCAAAAAAATGAATCTCTAAACCTATTTAAAAAAAGTCTACAAACATATTAATCTCTAAAACTAAACTTAATGCGCACCACAGCTGGCGGTGGTGTGGGGTGGGACCCCCACTATTGTTAGTTTTGTTTTTGACGTGCTGCACATTTATTCACTTTTGCAGTTTAATAATAATAACTAATAGTTTAGTTTTTCCTGTGACTTATTTGCAGTTTGATAAATGGTAGGGGCATAATATGCACTCCCAATGTTTTGTTGGTCTTTTTTTGGTAAATAATGACCTTTTTTGCGGTTTTATGTATTTATTTTTGTATCTTTAGATCCTATGTGTCATCAAGTACTCGAGTTCTACTCGAGTTTTATTATGTTAATGTCGAGTTTAAAAATTATGTAGTCGTTCAACCCTAGTGCAGCAGGTGCTAAATAATTTGCAGATTGTGCGGCTCATCCATCAATCAGCCAATTGTGTGTCATGTCCAATCTCACTTAGAAAACCGCGGTAGATTGAGTCCACAATAAACAAACCATGAAGTAGCGAGGAACTACTGTATTATGATGCCTGTGTTTAATAAGATTTTTATCAAAGCTTGTGTATTTAAACCAGAATTAAATGGGCTCACAAGCCTTGTTTACTATTTTTTGGGTGGTCAGAAGCCAAAATGTTTAGGAACCACTGAATTAAACCATTTTATGGTGAGTCATGCTTCACGTACGAGGGTGATGTCACACATCCGTCGGGTTAAAAATGTTTCATAGCAAGATAAAAGTGATCACTCAGGAGAGCTGTCTGTTGATCTGCATCAATCTCACATTCCGAGATGACAAGTGGACCAGAAACATGCCTGCAAAATACTTTCCACAGCACAGCAGAGCTGCTACTCTCTGTAGAGGTCAAGAGTTCAGCTGTTTCCTTCAGTTCATCAGCGGTCTGTCTGTAGCCTCCTTGTTTGTTGGCTTCATGTAGTTTGTTGGTACACTTGGAAAAACTCTTATTAACTCTCAGGTAGCTATTAAAATTTATAACTCCAGTAGGTTTCCTTTGAAATACTTCAAGAACTGAAATATATTCTATTCAACAAACGGTATACTGTGAGATATTCAGCTGAAAAAGATATGCAGCAGCACTGTGAGTCAATGACAGTTTGAAACTGGTTAATAGAAACAAGTAATTTTCTTATGTGTTACACAAAATGGGGGAGTGGCGCAGAGGTTAGAGAAGGGGGCCTGTGATCAGAAGTTTGTCAGTTCAACTCCCTGAACCAACATCAAAAATGTAGGTGTGAATGGTGAAACACCCACACCAGCCTCCACCCTCATTTGCCTCACTTTTGGCCCTTGAGCAAGGGCCTTAACCCCCACCATCTGCTCCCCTGGGTGCCCTAGATGGCAGCTCTCTGCTCCACACAGAGGGCTGTGGTAGCTCAGTGATCTGTGGTTGTGTCAGGAATGTCATCAGGAGTAAAAAAAACAATTGCCAAGTCTTCGTGCGAGCCTCCAGTATACTGCCGCGTATGTCCATACGCAGAGGTACGTACGTACGTACGCGGAGGTACGAGCGTACCCCCCAGGGCATGTCCGTGCAAAGCTTAAATTTTTACGACCGCATACGCGTACGCGGTGTCGCACAATAAACTGCCCAGCGACGGACTGTTTTGTATGCGACACCAATGTATTAAATTCCCCTTCTTCATCCCTGATCTGGGCTTTTCTTTTGTTTGTTTTTTTTGCCAAGAGGCAGTGATCTCTTCCTCCTCAGTTGATGCCATGACTGAAATGATGAGAAATGAAGGAATTTGTCATGAACGAATTAAACTCAGGTCCAGCGTGGCTGCGGGAGGGTCTGGAGATGTCCTGGTGTGCTGGTCTGATGTGTGGGTTGTAGAGCCAGCGCTCCCTGTTTTTTTTTTTTTTTTTTTTTTTAGATCTTTTTATTAACAACATATAAACACAGAACAACGCTGAGGCTGCCAGCGCTCGTTTTTTTTCCCCCCAACCTGTCAATCAATCCAGTAGGCGTGTCAGCAAATGACCAATCGGCGACCTCAATTTGTCCCGAAGGTAAACGCCCCTTGTCTGTGAAGCTGCTCTGCAGCTGCTCGGGGTGTACGCTGGAGTACGAAGTCTGAACCCTCTGCGTACAGTACACGCGTACGTATGCATGAATGGACGTACGCGGCAGTATACTGGAAGCTTCGCTGTGGCGACCCCTGAAGAAGGGAGCAGCCGAAAGAAGAAGTTGCACAAAATGATTCACCCTATTAGTCATTTAATTCAAGTTTAGGTATGCAGTTTTAAGGATTTATATGATAAGAGCCTATAACTGGTTCAAGAGGTGTTTATGCAAGCACAGCTTAATCTAAATTCCTATCAGATATTCAGGGTGTGCCTCAAGGCTGGTTTCTTGACACCCTTTATTTATCTTTATCAGTTTCTCAAACTTGTAACACTTACAGTTTGTAAAACTCATGCTAACAAGTGTTTGGTTTGTGTGTTTATTTCCACGTCAGATTAGCTGTTCCATATGCAAGGTGTGTCAAGTTTTGTTTGTTAATCCGGGGTAGAGGCAGGGCAGCCGACTCGGGACCCGAAAATCCCAGGTTAAATCCCCAGCCATACCCACATGTTGTGGTGTCTCTGAGCAAGACACCTATTCCCCAATTGCTCCCCAGATGCTTACATAGCTGTCCACTGCTCCACCTGGGTGTATCTCAGGTGCGATGGGTTAAATGCAGAGAACCAATTTTGCCATTGTGTGGGAACATACAGTGATGACAACAAATAGCACTTTATTATTTAAGGTTGCATTTTTTTGTTCGTTGGCCACTGTTGAGTTTCTCACAGTGCATCTCTAATTTTAGCTTGTTGTGAGGACTGGCATCAGTGTTGTTGTTTATAGAAAAAACAAGTCTGACTTAAAAAAATCAACTTGGACAACTTTATGGCCCTACAACTGCTTTTAAAACAACATGCATTGTGACTGCAGAGAAAATGGCCCTCTGCTTTCTCCTCCAGCCCCTGCAGCAGCCTTCTTTTGTCGTCAGTATTTTGCTGCTTTGTGGTGTGAAATGCACCGCACCGTTTGTGTGACTGTTTCTGAGCACTTTGTTCATTGATTGTTCCAACCATGAGCTCTCACTTCAACTCGACGCTCCTCCTCTCGTTCACTTTCAGTTACTCACACGCACCCACACACCACAGAGCTGAGACTTTTTTCAGGTTTTAAGTCCTCTGTGCTGTTTCCTCTTGCTGTCTTTCAGGGCTGTGGTGGAGAAGTACCTCCTGGAGAAATCTCGCCTTGTCTCCAGAGAGAAGAACGAAAGGTGAGGAGGAACTGAGGTTTGGGTGGGGGGTGTCCTTCATTCTTCACCTCCACCAGACTTCATGTGTGTGTCTATAAACACATACGAAGCTCAGCTGAAGGCCTTTGAGTTCAAACATTCATCTGCTGAAACACTTACACCCACACACACATCCTCAGACACTAAAAACGGGTTCAATTGCAAACCAACAAATCACTTTAAGAAATAGATCATTATTAAACTACCATGGCTCTACTTTATATTTGTAAAGCCAGTTATAAGGGCTCTTTAGTTGAATCATACTCATCTGTTGCCGTAACACTGTGACTGTACTGTCTGTCACTTCTGAGTGGTGGCTCACTCATACTGGTGAACACTCATTTTCACATCATCTGTTATTCATAGTGATATTCACTTAGCAGCTAGACTGTTTGTCTGTTGTTACTAATGTGAAATAATAAAAAATTGCCTGATGGTTATTGAGAAAAGCAGCCAGACTGTTTTGACCAAAATCTTTGCTGTGGACTTATTTTCTGTTTCAAATGAGTGAAACTGACATATTTTTACTAAACTACCTCACTTAAACTGTAAATGTCTGAATTCACTGTAAAATACTGAGCTGAGACAGGGAATACCTTGAATAAAAATGTACAGTAGATGTTTTTTTGAGTGGGAAGTGCATTACTCATTTATGAGTTTCCCAGCTAGTTTTGAAAAATCTGTCCGCCTTCCTCTGACAGATCTGTCTTTGTAACCCTCCGCCTACTCACCGTCTGCAGTCTGCTGGTAATCACCTTGCCTACAGTTGCTGTAGACAACATTTCTTACTCTTCTATTTAAGGAGTGATAGACTCCACTGTCACATGTTGTGTTTCTGTGTGATAAGTGTGGAAACTCATTAGTCCTGTGTGCTTTTTACAGTAAAGCCTAGTCACTTATGTACTTACCCACTCAATGCACAAATGAAAAGTTGATATAAACTGATAAACGTTCCACAGCTCCAGATGTCTTCTTTTTATTAACGTTTTACAATAAGTTCGTTCTTATCTCGCATCCAAAACTAAGCCTTTGTTTGACAATAAATACGAGGCTTCTACCTGCTCAACTTCCTGCGTGACAATGATAACAAGTAGTAAAAATGGAGTAATTCATTGAGGTGTTTAATGGGGATATTTGTTTTTAATTAGTATAAAGGAAACCTTTTTCATTGTACATTTCAAGTGTTTTTTTTTTTTTTTTCAGGAACTATCATGTGTTTTACTACCTGCTGTTGGGCGCTACAGCAGAAGAGAGGAAGGAGTATAAACTGCTGCCACCTGAAGATTTCTTATACCTCAAGCAGGTATGTGCAAATCCTAAACTTTAATAAATCTGGACTTTTTCAGGACATCTTTTTTTTATTTTTTATTCTGCAATCTGCTAAATTCTGTTGTCTTAATGAACCGACTCAGTCAGAGGTTTGACAAAAAGCACTAAAATGCATCTGGTATTCATGAAAGCTGCCAAGTTTCTGAATAAGCTGCTGAATAAACGCCCAGCGTACTTCACACGTGTGCGCTGAATGTTAAGAAGGCTCTTTGTTCACTCCCTTGTTTAGATTTTCATCTTTCCTCAACATTTTTTTCAGCGACTCCTTTTCATCGTCATCATTTTGGTGGATTCTGGGGTTTATGATCTCACTTTTTGCCCCTCCCTACCAACCGTTTCTCCTTTTTTTTCCCCTTTTTAAGGAAAATTTTAAGATTGAAGATGAGGAAGATTTGCGTCATGATTTTGAAAGGCTGCAGCAGGCCATGGAGATGGTTGGCTTCCTGCCAGCCACTAAGAAACAGTGAGTGAACCAGTACATACAGGCTTTTTTAGCAGAAACATGACATTTTCTTCTAAACACGCTAAATGGTTTATGCTGAAAATCAGTCCTGTAGCCTGTTTCAGTTCTTTTAAAAAAAGTATTTTAATGGAGTTGCGTTGCTAAAACATACATATTTACAACACAGAAATTTTGGAAGCACTCAGTTTACATCAAATGATCCGATGTAACAGTTTATTAGTTGCGGTGTGTCATTACAACCTTTCACAAAGCCTCTATGTTTTGTGAAAGTCATTAAATGTAAACGGATCAGAATAAAACCAGCACACTCTCTGCTTGGCGCATGTAACTTTCTTGGTTCTGTTGGGTTGCAGGATCTTTTCTGTTCTTTCCGCAATCCTTTATCTCGGCAACGTGACCTACCAAAGGAAGTCAACGGGCCGAGACGAGGGTCTGGAGGTGGGGCCGCCAGATGTCCTAACAACACTCTCAGACCTGCTGAAGGTATCCATGCTTCCTGGTGTCTCTTTCCTTTCCTTTGCTTAGATCGTTGTGTGTTTGTGACTTGTGGCATTAAAACCCTCCCAGGTCAAAGAAGAGCTGCTGGTTGAGGCGCTGACTAAGAGGAAAACTGTGACGGTCAACGACAAGCTGATTCTCCCCTACAGCCAGTCTGAGGTATGCTTCAAGAATGCGAACACTGGTTGAACAGTGTCCAAAAGCAGTACACACTGTCTCCTACTCTGTTTTATTGCTGAAACACCTATAAATTAGTTTTCTTTGTTTTCTTATACAGTAGTCCGTCGCTACTTCGTGGTTCGTTTATCGCGGACTCGCTGTATCGCGGTTTTTCAAAATAAGATTGGACATGACACACAACTGGCTGATTGATGGATGAGCCGCACGATCAGCATGGAATTTTTATTTAAAATAAATTATTTTAAATTATTTAGCACCTCCTGCACCTTGGTGCAGCCCGTACTGCAGTATAAACTTCCTGCTGCAGCTGATCATCTGCGTGCATGATCAGCTGTTCAACATGCAGACCGGAGAAGTGGGCGTGGCCAAGAGTGCTTGAGCAGAGGACGCAGGGAGCTGAAATTATGACATTCTGTGCTCTTTTAGCACGTTTAGAGTTTATAAACATTGTTTAGAATATTGCAAGAGTGTTGGAAGGGTTTAAAACACCTTTATGGAATAAAATAAACTACAGCTTACTACTTGTACTACTATCCCTACCTTGCAGTTTTTCACTTATCGTGGGTCTGCAGGGTACGGATCCCCCGCGATAAACGAGGGACTACTGTATTCACATTTGTAATCACACTAAATTCCTTTTTAATGTTATTAATTTAGCTGGAATCAGTTCTCATATAGTCCTATGTTTATCCCATCAGGCTGTCACAGCTAGAGACTCCATGGCCAAATCTCTGTACAGCGCCCTGTTTGACTGGATAGTGCTTCGCATCAACCATGCACTGCTCAACAAGAAAGACATGGAGGAATCTGTTCAAGTAAGACCCACAACACACACATGGGACAGCAGAAAATTTGCTCAGCAGTCATCTACAAGTAAATTAACATGATTTGACGTTGTTTTCCAGTGCTTGTCTATTGGAGTCCTGGACATTTTTGGCTTTGAAGACTTTCAGACCAACAGCTTCGAGCAGTTCTGCATCAACTATGCAAATGAGCAGCTGCAGTATTACTTCAATAATCACATTTTTAATCTGGAGCAGGTGAGCAGCTGTTTTCTTTTTCATATATTACACTCTAAATGACACTAATCACCTTTTTTATTTTTACATCGTTTTATTATGCACTCGTCAAAGGCAGACGTATTATGGTCTCCGTCTGTACGCCCTTAAACGTTCTTTTACACCCATAACTTCTGATCCACTCAAGATAATTTAATGAAACATGAAACTCTCATGAATCACGTCGACGGAGTGTTGCATATCCTATTCATCGCCCCAGCTTCAAGGTCAAGACCACAAATCAAGGTCATTTACAACAAGCTCTTTGCTTGTAAGGGTCATAACTTCAGATTTGCTCATGATAATTTAACAAAACTTGATACTCATTTGTGCCACTATTTGACAACGTCAATCATTTTTTCATGACCCTAACTCCAAGGTCGAGGTCATAAATTACGGGCAAAGTTAAAACAAGGTATTTACTTTTCCGGCCAATTTCTATACACTGTACAATAGCTTGTCGACGGGCGTATAGTGTGCTGTTTGCAGTACTCTTGTAAAAAGTTTGACAGAATGGCACGCATTCAGAAGAGTTTGTTCACCAAAAATGTTCTTTTCTTCTAAATAAAGGAGGAGTACCAAGCTGAGGGAATCACCTGGCATAACATCGACTACACAGACAATGTGGGCTGCATCCATCTCATCAACAAGAAGCCAACAGGCCTGTTGTACCTCTTAGATGAGGAGAGCAAGTAAGAAGAGCTGCATTCCTTCATGTATTTATTCAAACATCAATGTTTCTGAACGCTCTAAAAGAGCACAGAATGTCATGGTTTCCCTCTCTCTGCTTCCACTGCTCTTTGCCACCTGCAAACGTTCTTGGCCATGCCCACTTCTCTACTCTGCACGCTGATCAGCTGATCAGCTGCAGGAGGAAGCTTATCCTGCAGTGTGATTATGCAAAGATGTACAGGATGACACGTTTTCTGTAGCTGTAGGCTGCACAAAGGTGCTGCAGGTGCTAAATAATTTACAATAATTTATTTTAAATAAAATGTGCAGATCGTGCAGCTCGTCCATCAATCAGTCAATTGTGTGTCATTTCCAGTCTTACTTTGAAAAACCACAGTAAAGCAAATCTGCAAAAAACAAACCGCGAAGTAGTGAGGGACTACTGTATAGTTATTTTTATGTAGTTGAAGCTTTGTATTTGTTTGGAGCTTATTTTTCGCACTTTTTTCTCCCTCCTGCTGCTTGTGTTCCAGCTTTCCACACGCCACCGATAAGACCTTGTTAGCCAAGTTCAAGCAGCAGCACCAGGGGAACAAGTACTTCGTACCCACACCGGTCATGGAGCCTGCTTTTGTCATTCAGCACTTTGCAGGGAAAGTCAAATACCACATCAAGGTAATAAGACATCAGCTGCTTCTAACAGAAGTAAACACAAAGCTTCCGATACAGAAATATTTTTCTTTCCTATCGTATTTGTGTTCCTCTTTGTGACAGTTTTAATGTATTTAACCTCTTCAGGATTTCCGAGAGAAGAACACAGACCACATGCGTCCAGATATCATAGCGCTGTTGCGAAGCAGCGATAGAGCATTTGTGCGGCAGCTCATTGGCATGGACCCAGTGGCCATGTTCCGATGGGGCATCTTGCGAGCTACTATCAGAGGCCTTGCTGCGTTCAATGAAGCCGGTCGCTCCTGGGCAGCCAAAACTGCAGGTACCTGATCTGAATCCACCTGAAATGATCTAAGATCAATTTCTTAGTCGATATAAAGTATTTTTACCCGATTTTTCCATTATGGGCAGCTTTCTTATATTCAGTTCAGCTCTAGCTTGATTAAAGATGGAAAGATGACGTCATACAGCTGTCTTTGTACCACAGCTTCTGAAAACTGCACTTTTCCTGCTCTGTAATTAGCTCTCATGGCAGCATGGAGTAATGAGGCCACAAACTTGGGGTTTTAGGAAATTTTGAGATTTTTCTCTGCGATTCTGAATCCTTCAGATAATTTGGGTGCTCTTCTAGCTGGCCCACAGAAAGAGGAGCTTTCACACAAGCATGGGATTGATCAGGATAGAAAACCCAATTGTAAATAAAACAGTTTCTCTGTTAAACTGTATTTGTCTTGTTTCATGTTTGATGTTGTAGGTGTTATCCGTCCAGCCTCCAGAACTCCTCTAGGCGAACTCAAACGGTCCAATGCCCCAATAGAAAGAATGTACAAGTAAGTGATATACACAAAGTAATGTGAAGCTGAGAAACTCGTCTCACTTTGTGTTCAGTGCGTTTGGACTGGTTTTACCTGTAAGTCCAGTTTTCTTTTTGTTTGTTTTCTAAAGGGAATCTGTCAACTAGGGTACTGTAACTGTGAAAGAAATGTTTTCCCTGGTGTACTGTGGACCTTATTCCAGTGGTTCTGAATGAGATGAGGACGAACACCTGAAAATGTTTTAGTAAAAACGTAGAAATGAAACACCTTTTCTCATCTCAGTGACAAAATTGAACCTCATCTCAGTCACCCATATCCTCCCCACCTTTTGGTGACCCCAGTGTTTGCGGTTCTCTCCTCTTCCTCTTCCTCCACAGACGAGCTTCTATGTTAGATTTCTACTTTGATCACTCAGAGGAGCGTCCTCTAGAGGCCTTTGAAGACATCTTTGCTAGCTTTGAGAATAAGAAGTAAGTGAATTTGGTGGAAAGAACAAACAAGTGAGAACATGAGGCCAAGCAGGAAGGAATTGAGTTTTCTACTGAATAATAAAATAGTGTTTTTTATCTACTTTCATTAAAAATATTAACAATTATTGATGCCTTGTTAATTGATTTTGTTAAAAGATTGTTTTTTTTTTTTTTTTTTCCCAACATCTGCGTCTTAAAATATAAAAGTTAACTGTTTGAACAAGTTTGGCGAAGAAGTGAAACACTTTAAAACTCTCCAGAAAAGACCAAAGTTCATGCTCAATAATCCAGGTACAAATCCAACAATGTTCAGTCAGGTCATCTGGATGCTTTCTTTTTTTTTTTTTTCCTGAGAGTTCTACCAAAAAGGTTTTTGGCTTGCAATCTCAATCTTTCCTCCCTGTAATTATTTTCCTTTTTTTAGTACATAATCGCCATAATCTCTCAACTTCCTCACGTTTATTATTTTTTTCTGTGGAGCACAGGAAAGTGTTTGCGCTAGCCTTCTCTTATTAGCCACTCAATCATCTGTAAAGCTTCGAAGTCACACGTTTATTAATAAACATGTACACAAATATCTAGTAATACAAAGCAATTGTGAGAGCTTTCTCAGAACGAAATCAAACCGTAGTGTTTATTTTTAGAATGTTGGTCATTCTAATTTCACATCTGAAATAACTGGTTGCACTTTTTTTTTTCTTTTGCATTTGTAGAACCAAAATAGAAATTAACTAGAGAAATTGCATTTCCTGTGAAAATGCAGCGTGAATGCTTATTTCACAAGAACTTGCTGGAAAAACAGCTGAAATTAGCTGTAAAAAAAACATGCTGAATGTGGCTGAAATGGATGAACAAGCCTAAATTAGCAGAAGAAAATGGAAAGAATATACTGAAAGCAGAAATTACCACAAAAAGCTTGTATTTATCTGAAAACAGCTGAAATTAGCTACAAACATGCTAAAAAAGCAACCAAAAAGTTAGAACAATCTTAAATTAGCAGAAAAAAGTAGAATGAACACATGGTTGCCCAATTAGGCTTAAATATGCAGAAATGAGCACAAAAAGGTAGAAATTATCTGAATAAAGCAGAAAACAGCTGAAAAGTAGCGAAAAAGTAGAATGAAGCTAAAATTACCAGAAGGATGTGGAGAGAGAACATTTTTGCTGAATTAAGCTGAAAAAAGTTGAAATGAGTGCAAAAAATGTGGAATTAGCTGAAAAAGCTAAAATTAGAATAAAAACAGCTAAATAGTAGCTGAAATAGCAGAAAAAGCTGAAATTTGCAGAAATAAGCTGAAAGGAGCATAACAAGCTGAAATTAGCAAAAAGAAGTTAGAAGAAGCACAAAAATGTTGTAGTTAGCAGAAAGATCCTGAAAGGAGCACAAAGCCGCTTAAAAAAACAGCTGAAATTAGCTGAAAGTAGTTGAAAAATGTTTAAATTTGCACAAGGAAGCTGAAAGAAGCTGAATCAGAACAAAATATGAAAGGAGCAGTAAAAGGTTGTAAACAGATCTAAAGAGTTGAAGGATGTAAAATGAGCTCAATTCATTTTCTATGAGAAGTGAAAAAAATGTCAGAAAAGGCTAAATATTTCAAAAAGCTAAATTTGCACCAATACGAAAAAGTCATAGCAGGATTGTCCTGAAAGACCTGAACGTTTTGATAAATGAATTGCTGAAATAGCTTGAAAACTGCAAGATGAGAATTGCGCTGAAAAACGTACGGAAGAATTTAAAAGTGGATCACAACAGTGTGAGTGCTTAGTAAACATTCACACAATTGTCTATATTTTTTAAATCATCCAGTCCTTTCAGATCTGAAAGCACAGATTTCGTATTAGTCATTTCTTTCACTGCTTGGCCTCTGTTTTCCTACTCAGTCGTGGTAAGTATAGCAATAAAACTGCATGGACTATCTCTGGGTTATGGGAAGAGTCTCCATATTAACCTCACAAGAGTGTTTCCAGTGTAACAGCCAGCCACGATTAAAAGAGCTCACACACAAAACCTTCACTCGTAACAACTTACAGCCACACCGAAGCCAGTAACATCCGCAGCATGGAAACAGACAGACAGCCACGCCAAGCGCCAGCTCAGCTCATCTCTGCATGTTTACTACCACAGTGGCAGCAAGACGTGTGGGAATACAACCTCTAAATACCCAATCTCTGTATCTTTCTCTGTTTTTGTAAAGGATGTGACGCATGGTTGGGTGGTCTTGTGTGTCTTGTGGTTTCCTTGTACATTATCAAGGGGAGAGAGGAAAAAGCTTCAGTGGTTCACAGATGATTGTGTGAAAGCTGAAGTGTCTCTTGGTATGACACCCCAGCTGTTCTGTACTGTGTCTTACTGTCTTGGGTAACGGCTGCTATGTTTCTCCTGGAGGTGTCCTAACAGTGGCGTTCTTCACACTCTCCTTTACTTTTTTTTTTTTTGTTGTCTTCTGTTTTATATATTTTTTCCAAATTTTTGTTTGTGCTTTTTTTCCCCCCTTTTCCTTCCCCTGCTCCCCATCCTCCCCCTTTTCTCCTCTATTCATACCACGTGTGTCTATACGTGCGTGTGCGTGATCAGAGACATGCATGCGGAGATCATCAGCTCCATTAAGAACTTGCAGCTGGATGGGGAGGACCCTCGCAAGCTGCTGCAATCTTGGGGTCGCCTCCGCTTTCCACGACAAGTCCTCCAGTGAGTCTGCAGACAGAGCTGGCATCGGCTCTTCTTCAGATCAGTCCAGTGTCATCAGCTCAGGCAGAACATGCTCCTGCATCCATTACGATGTGCTCAAAAAGCTATAAAATAATATCTGCTTTTGGTCCAGTGGTAAAACATTCCAGCTTCCTCATTGCAGATTCTATAAGTAGCCATTGTAAGCTGCATAATCAGCTTTTGTAGATGCCACGAATACTTCAACTGCTGCATGAGTACCAGCAAAGACTGTTGATGTAAGATCTTTTAAAGCATCTTGTGAAAATATGTCCCAGCACTTTTTCAGTGTGTGAGCATTTTACACTACCCCCTGTGGTGTTGTGCACGACATTAAAGAGAACTTGACCAAGTAGAGAGCATGTCTGTCTTTGTGTGGGGAGTCTCTGCTGAGCTGATTATTTCAAGCCTTTCATTCCATCTTCCTCTTCTTTTGTTACTGTCTAACCTCCTGGTCATTCATCCAGTCTATAGGTGTACGCCTATGTTTCATCACTTAACAACTGCATGAAGAAGTCACCCATTCTTACTAACCAGGCCTCACAACACTCCATTCGTTTACCCCGTTCCATCTTCACACCTCAGGCTTTCTGCTCTTTACTCACGCTGCACCCTCTTTATTCCTTTCTGCAGGAAAAACAAGACTATCAAACAGAGGCAGGCCATCCCCAAGGTAATCCTGAGTGAAGACCAGAAACCTGTAGATCAGAAGCCACTTTGTTAGTTCTAATCTCTATGAGTGCAAACAGGAAGCTGATTGCAGCTTTTCTGTTTCCAGAGTTTGCTAGATTCGCAGTCGTTGAAATTCATCGTAAGTCTGACGCTGCACGATCGGACGACAAAGTCTCTGCTCCACCTGCACAAGAAGAAAAAGACCCCCAGCATTAGTGCTCAGTTCCAGGTAACGTCAGCTGAAATATAATGAAAATTGCACTCGGAGAGAGGTGTTTAAGCATAATGATTTTTTTCCCTTCTCCCAAGAACTCTTTGACGAAACTCTTGGAGACTCTGAACAAAGCAGAGCCTTTCTTCATTCGTTGTATCCGCTCCAATGCTGAGAAGGTAAATTTATCGTATTTTATCTTGTTAACCTTAAATCCAATAAATGCAGATTTATTCAGTGAAATAATGTTCCTGTAATTTTGTTAAACAAACTTCACTCTTTTGCCCCTTCTGATAGTTTGATGCCATAACAAATGACACAAATTCTCATTTCGTCTAAGATGACGGCAGCTTACCTACCATAGTAACCTTGGGTTTCTAAATGTAACTGTGTGTGTGAGCAGAGGGAGATGTATCTGTATGAGGCCTTGGTGCTCCAGCAGCTGCATTACACTGGGATGCTGGAAACTGTTCGCATCAGGAGGTCAGGCTATGGAGCAAAGTACACCTTCCAGGTACTGCAGCTGCACTCCTCTCGTGAAATTTATCCAACAACATCGTGCCACAGCAATTACGTAATGCAGATTATCTTCTGTGAAACAGCATATTCACCTCTTGTCTTAAGTACTTGCATAATTTCTGCAGGAATTTGTGGAGCAGTTCAGAGTTTTGCTGCCGAAGAACACCTCTGCCTCTAAAGAGGACATCTTAGAGCTCCTAGAAAAGAAAATGCATCTTGACCCCACCACGTACCAGATAGGCAAAACCAAGGTATTGCCGTTAATGTTGATTTTAAAAGCAAGATATTTTGAACGGGGTTAGTTTCCTGCAATACATATTTCCTTTAATTCCTGCCACTGCTGTTGAATATTTAGTTTTCGTTTTATCATGCAGACCTTATTTTCATCCACGTATAATTTTTTATTCTGATGCGTTTTGTGGCCTCAGGTGTTTCTCAAGGAGCTGGAACGGCAGAAGCTGCAGGACATGCTGCACAAGGACGTGATGCGGAAGATCATCTTCCTTCAGCGCTGGCTCAGAGCTCGCCTGCAGAGGCAGGAGTTTCTAGACATGAGGAGGGCAGCCATCTTGATCCAGGTAAACACAGATATACCATTTATTTAATTTCTCGCATCAATACACAACTTGCTTTGAGTCTTGATTTTCTCTGTCCTGTCTCTCAGTTATCTTGGCGTAGGTACTGCAGGAAGGAGCAAAGGCGACAGGCGGCGACTCTGATCCAGGCAGTGTGGAGAGGGCACAGACAGAGATCAGAGTACAGCCGAATAAAACAAGGTGCTACAAAAATACAAGCCCTGGTCAGGGGGCACTCGGCACGCAGAAGGTAAACAACGAAAATGCTCCCAAATTGTTTTTGTTTTTATAAGAAATTAAAATGAAAACATTTGTCTCTAGATGAATGGATGGTGCTTAGGTGCAATATTTACAATCATACTTGGGTGTCTTATTATGTCTTGTGCATTACAGGTGTCATTCTGTACGTGAGGAGAAACGAAAGAAAGAAGAAGAGGAAGAAAAGGCCCGTAGGCGAGCAGAAGAAGCGAGGAAGAAGAGAGAAGAGGAGGAAGAGGCGAGGAGAAAAGCAGAAGAGGAAGCAAAAATGAAAATTGAAGAAGAAGCAAGGAGGAGAGCAGAGGAGGAAGCAGCCAGGAGAGCACAGGAGCAAAGGGAGAAAGATGAGCACAGAAGAGAACATGAGCCTCAGACAAGAGAGGATCCAGATATAGAGCTGGTCACAGAGGAGATGCTGGATGAAAATCTCTTTGTTCCGGAAGAAGAGGAGGAGGAGAGACAAGAGGATGCACAGGAGGACAACACAAGCTTACATATAGATGAGGAACAAGGCAAAGATGAAGAGCTGGAGGAAGAGGAGCTGGATTTGGAGACTAACGGTACATTTAAGGCTAAACCTCAGCAGGATGAGAAGGAGGAGGAAGGCTTGAAGAACCAAACACCAGGAACACCAGGTTCAGAATCGGTGCTGCCCTCAGGTGGGAAGGATAAAATGACCAGCACTACCTCTGCATCTCCCCAAGCTGAACAGAAGAGTGTCCAGCCTGTCATCAACAAACAGTCTTCATCTATTAAGAGGGAGGAGAGGAGGCGAAGAGGACTGGAGCACAACAAGAGAGAGACGGAACGAGCTGCCGCCTCCTCCTCTGCAGTCGTCAGCAAAGATCAGACATCCCCTCCGAAAAGCAAGAACCAGGAGACAACTAAGCTCAAAGAGCGGTCAGACAGCAAGGAGCTGGACCAGTACACCTTCGTGGCCTGGAAGATGAAGGATGACAAGGGAGGAAAGAAGGAGGCAAGAAGTTCTCCTCCCCCTGCCGGTCCCGTCCGACCCTCTACATTACCCCTGCTACCCCTTGACTCTGCGCATGAGAAAAATGGTGACAGTACCGGAGCTGTAAACCTGCAGCGCCGCACTGGAGCTATAAAGGAGAAACCAGAGAAGTGGAAGGTGAGGAGGAGTAATGGGGAGAATTCAAAGGCCACCAGCTCTCCTCCACCTTACAACCGAGAAGAAAGGATTAAGTCACATCTGTACGTCTGATTTCACAGATTCTGTTCTCTAATATTTAGGGCTAAAGCTTGTGGCAGTATTATTAAAAAATACATCAGCATCACAGGCCTTATAGTTTGAAACAATTCAGACACCTTTGTTTCTGTTCATCTTTCTCTGTTCGGACCGTTTTTGTAAAAAATGCTGACATTCTTTCAGTGATGTTATTTTGTCATCTTTCTGCAGGAGTGAAACATCGTTGCCATTAATTGACGGTTTTTCTCCAAGTTTTGAAGGGGCTGGTGCCATTTCCATCAAAGAGGTATTTTAAGTATCGATCGATCTTCTACGATTACACTTTTCTCCTTTCAAAAGTGTTATAATAAATTATTTACTGGCAACCTTTTATTTAGTGAAAACTGGTCCCTGTTCATTGTAATTTTTCCTCATGCCTAATTGTTTGCAAACACTGTCCTCTGGTCTGCAGATACTTTCCTCCTCAGAAAGTCACAGTGCTGACCTAAAAGAAAGTTTCGTCTCAAAGAAGCAGCAAGGCTTCGGTCCCCAGGATTCAATCCACTCCACCGCTTCCACTCCAGACAAGTACGTCACTGCAGTGGACTGATGTGCAAACATCTGGGCCCAGTTTGAACATCAGGAGACATGCATTAGGTTTTTCAGGCATGCTTTGAGAAAATGCATGCAGAATGATTTGAGACAGTTAGGTGTGATGTAAAGAGTTTTACTAGAGAATGAATTTCTCACTGTTGTATAATTTGTTTAGGTTTACAAATGCCTATAATTTGTGAAATGCACCATTCAGATGCCACAACAAAATAATTTTCCAGTTCAGTTTTAAATTGGTAAACAAATGTTAAACATTGTACTTGTTTCCTCAGAGGAATAACCAGAAGTTAAACTCAGTTGAAATGAGAAGTTCACTCTAGAAATCTCGCTTTTTTTGTCAGTATCATCCCCAAACAGAATCCTTTCACATTTTTACAACTATTTCAATGTTTTTGTTGTTTTTCCTCCCCTGCAGGTCAGGTGGATTCTTCAAGTTTTTGAAGAAACGACCCAAAGAGGCCCATACTCCAGACAACGAAGAGCTGACATTTGTTCATGCTCTCAATGACAAGTCAGCACCAGGGGAAGGTACCGTCATTTATTTTTTTACAGTTTTTTTTTCTCCCCTGCTGCCTTCGACTCAATTCACCAGTGCTTTCACTAGTGCCGTTTTTGTGCTATGGTGAGCTCTAAAACCTGACTGAAACTCCTCAAACAGATTATTTCTTTGCAGTTCACGCAACTGACCTGCAACTATTTTCCCTAGAATGTTTGAGAAGAAAGTTAGATTAGATATAGGTCTATAGTTGGCTAGGTTTCCTGAGTCAAGATTATGTTTCTTAAGTAAAGGTTTAATTACAGAAATCTTAAAGCACTGTGGTACATAATCATTAGAGATAAATTAAGCAGATCCAAAGTGTGGATATTAATTAAGAGAAATACCTCTTTAAATAGTCTGGTTGGGATGGGATCTAGCAGGCACGTGGATGGTTTGGATGAAGCTATTATTTTTGACAAGTCAGAGAGCTCAACAGGACAAAAACAGTCCAAACATTTATCAGGTTCTAGTGACATTTTTAAAGTTGCCTCATCTGACAGGAAACCAGAGGCGATAGTAGGAAGGATGGTTTGAACATTACACATGAAGAGAGATGTGAAATTATTATTCCTGCTGATCCGTGCAAAATTATTTCATATTTTGTTTTGTTTTTTTACATCTGTTGATTATGTTCATAAAATTATCAGAAATACATGGTATGTCACATGTCTTTATGTTTACATGAGAAAAACTTTCTTTTTTCAGCGCCCCCATCTGGACACCTGTCTCGGACTCTGCCTCAGCCCCACAGTGACCGTGCTGGAAGGAGCTTAGGCCGAAACCCCACCATAAAGATCAGTCGAGCCACACGGGTCTCTAAGCAGTGGAACGCCTCGCTGGACAGAGAAATCAAAAACGCTAATGAGCTGCGGCACCTCGATGAGTTTCTGGGCAACCAGGTGCGTCAAAAGGAACGAGATGCAGACTTCTTTTTGGAGATACTTTAATCAGATTAAAATTTTTACAAACATCTCAACAGAAGAAAATTGTTTTAGCTTTTTTCTTTTTTTTTTTGTAGGTCAATGATTTTCGATCCAGGGGTAAGCCGCTGTCCAGTACAGAATCCATTTTTGTTGAAGCCACCTTGCAGTTCAGAGAGACAATCAAATCGATGTATTCTGTCCATGTAAGTATGTGTGCAGGCTGGAGACAGTCACATAATGCTTATGCTGAGTTAACTCCTTTATCTCGTGTTGTCTAAACAGAAACCCACCATCGGCTACAAAGGACTAATGTCAGGCTACCAAAACAAAGTGATCCACTTGGCAGGCAGCGCATACCAAGAAGATGTCCCACTCGTGGTCAACCTGTTCCAGTCTGTGCTGGATGGCTTCATCAGAGGAGAAATGAAGAAGGAGGAGGCTGAACCTGCCAAGGTAAAACGCTGAAATGTATGACTTTAGTTCAAAAATAACTATGCATTCACAGACTTGTCTTGTCTTTCAGCTTTCCAAAACTAGAAAAAAGAGGAGAAATAAGCATAAAAGTGTAAGTTTGCATTTGAAAAAAAGTCCTTTATGTTGTCCTCAGTAGATGATTTTTATTTAAAATCTGACTAACGTGGTGGGTTTTTTATTAGGCGGAGTGCTACCTGGATCATATCTTTGTCAACTATCAGGTCAGCATTGTACAGTCATGTGACCAGTGTAGCTCTTACATCTGGGTCATGGAGAAAGCCTCAATGTGCAGCAGTGAGTAAACACCCCAACAAAACTAGCATTTTTAAGTAAACCGCTACACAGGTTAAAGTCATGTATTCATCCTTTTTAAATTTTTCCTACAGATTGTAAGATGGTGTGCCACAAGAAGTGCCTCTGCAAAATAAGCGTCGACTGCTCCAACTTTTATGCCAGAAAGGTCTGTTTTTCGTATTAAATTCAGCCTTGTGTGTTTGTCTTATACCCGGAACGAGTTTAAAGCATTGTTTGATGTTTAAGAAGACGAGTTATTGACTGCAGTTATGAATCCACAGAGTGATGAGGTCATCACCGGACAACACTTTAAAGTGTGCGTTTGTCGCCTGGTGAGTGATAAGAACCCGGTGCCGGTGGTTCTGGAGATGATGCTGGAGCATGTGGAGATGCACGGCCTCTACACCGAGGGCATCTATCGCAAATCCGGCTCTGCCAATCGCATCAAAGATCTGCACCAGCGGCTAGAAACAGGTTAGACGCTTTCTAAATAACGATTACAACACACTGGAATTAAATGAAGTCTGTTTTTATTTCAACTCATACATGTCCCCCCCCCCCCCCCATATTTTGGTGCTGTTGTTGTCTTTTCCATGTGTGTAGACCCTTATCAAGTCTGCCTCGAGGACTATCCCATCCACACAGTGACCGGCCTGGTGAAGCAGTGGCTCAGGGAGCTGCCCGACCCTCTCATGACCTTCGCACATTACAACGACTTCCTTCATGCAGTCGGTGAGTGGGATGTTGTCCAGCAGGGGGAGACATTTCACAGCAGTCAACTTTTCTCCTTTTTTCTTATGACTCGTCGGTAAATTGTTTCTTTAGAGGGAATAAAACTTAAATGAAGGCCTTTGCTTTTCACAGTAGACTGTTAATGTTTAGAAACAGGTGTCACTTTAAGATGTTTCATGTATTTTGTTAGAACTGCCAGAGAGACAGGAGCAGCTTCATGCCATCTATAAAGTGCTGGAGGAGCTCCCCTCAGCAAACTTCAGCACATTAGAGCGACTCATCTTCCACCTTGTCAGGTGCGGACTCATGCCATGTATATATTAAAGCAGTTCTTATCTAAATCAAAGAACACTACGCTTCAAATTGATCAACTCACTCAACCCCTGGATTGTTAAGCTGGCAGTGCAGGTAATCAAATGACATTCTTCTGTCTGACAACGTTCCTGCAGGGTCTCTAAAGAAGAAGCTCACAATCGCATGTCCCCTAACTCATTGGCCATAGTGTTTGCACCATGTATTCTGCGTTGCCCTGACACCGCTGACCCGCTGCTCAGCATGAAGGACGTTGCCAAGACGACAATGTAAGAGCTGCCACAAAATGACATAAAGACTAAAACTTTCTTATTCTGACCATAGGATGAGTTTGTTTTTCTTTAATTACATCAAATGCATAAAAATCACATAAATACTGTCACTCTTTGCCTGTAGGTGTGTAGAGATGCTCATCGTTGAGCAGACCAGACGCTACAATGAGAGGATGGAGGAGATCGAGCAGCTGGAGTACGCCGAGGCGCTGGCTGTTAACCAGCTCAAACTCAAGAGAAAAAACACGGTAACAGATGTGCTCGATACGCAAGTTTAGATTAGCTGCACGTGTGACTATACAGTGAATAAAGTCAGATGTTGTAAAACTTATAAATAAAAAGGTTTATTTTACATAAAATTAGTTGTTTATTGCATTATGTAAATCACTTAATCCCTTTATCAGCTGTTCTCAGATTATTCCAGTAACATAGCCAATGTTCCCTTGTTTTTTATTTTTTTATTTTGTTTTTAGCACTACCTGCATTTACCTCTCAGGTACTCGGCTCCTTACAAAGGAGTGGTGGTATGTATCATCCAGTTCTCCAGTAGATTCAGTAGTTGTCGTGTGTAGTTTGCCATGTTGGACTGCTTGTGCATGGCATGTTAGATTCTGGTGATGCTCTGGCCGTTTTATATTTTTCTTTACTCGTTTTCACGTTTTACAATTGTCTAACTGTGAAATCATCTGTACTAACTGGAAGAAGTTTGCATTTTGTTAGGTTTTTATTTTGTCAGGCTTGTGATCTGAGGGATTTGATGTTTTTTGTGTGTTCTCTGAGTGTGAGGACAAAGTGGTTCTGGGTTGCTGTTGTGATTCCTCTCTTTGTCGGAGAGTGAACTTACACAAAATGTGACTTGCAAAGCTTGGTGGTAACGTTGTATTTTTGACTTTGTGGTTTTTCCACTACTAAATAGTTATTTATTTAAAAAAAGGATCACAAAGCTCTGAAAGTCATATTATTTATAGAGAAGGCTCAATCTTTTCTGATCATGGTGATGTGTTTAACTTTGATGACAGGCGGGGGGTGGTTGTTCATTGATTCATTCATGTTCATTCATCTTCACAAAAGAGCTGTAGGTATTTCTGTGCATATGCATGAAGATCACAGGCACCATCCATCCTGCTTTCCTTGTTACCTCACTAACAGTTTTGGCTGATTTAGATTCTGGTTGTTTTTAGTGCATTGTTGTAGTAATTTCCCATTCATAAATAACTCCATATAGTAATTTAAAAACCATATATTTTTTGTCTGGGTGGGTCAGTGATCAGTGCTTGATGCTGTGTTTTGTGCAGATGCATGAGAAGGGGGGTTCTGATCTCAGCGTGGTCCCTGAAAACGAGCCTCTGGACTCGGACACGGAGAACAACCTGGTGGAACGCATCAAATCCATCAAACAGGAAAAGTGAGGATGTGCTCTTACCTTTTTATATATTAATTGTTTTTATTTGTTTGTTTTTCTCTTTTTGTCCTTCAAAGCATCTGATGTTCTTGTCTTCTGCTCATTTCTCAGAGATGACCTTGCCGTGCGGCTTCCGGACATGGAGCAGCCCGGTTCAGACCAAGAGAACTTGGACTCGGAAGCATCACTAAGCTCCGAGAGCCTCCTGGATGAACAGCAGCGCTCCTCTGCTCACAGTTCAGAGCCAGAAGGTTAGTGTTGAGGTACAGCCCAGTGTTTCCCTCCTTCTACCCGTTCCTCTCACTAACCGGTGGGTTTCTGACCAAACCACTGGGCCACTGCCTCGGGCCCTTCCTGTCTTCTGTGGTGCAGGTCTGGACCAGTGATGGTGATGGGGCGCTGATGTCTGCTCTTTAAACAAAGCAGGTTGGGGGAACAGCAACCGTGTTTTGTGTGTTTGTGTTCATGTAAATATACAAGTGGCACAGTAGCATGCTCACACATCGTTCTGAGCTAATAAATGAATTGAACATTCGGCACCACATCAGATCTCTTGCTTGTAATTCTACTTTTCTGATAACATGGTTGCATGATCTTCCATTTGTCTTCTCTTCGTCTTTCTTTGCACTGCTGTGTGTTTTTCTATTTTTTTTATTTATTTGTGAAATACTATTGTCTTCCACTTGCTCAGTTTCTTGTTTTTTTTTCTTCTTCTTTTCTGCCAGGACAAAGTGCTGCCCAGTTGAAGAGACAAAAGCTAGTTTGTGCTCCTAAACCCTCAGATCTGGCCCAGCGATCGAAAGATCCTGCTGGAAGTGTCTCTCTGGCAAATCTCACCCCTGCTAGCTCCTCTTCGTCTGTGTGTAGCTCTGCCTCCTCAACGTCTGAATCATCCAGCGGCTCCCTCAGGCACGTTCTGCAGCGTCGTAATCCTGTAATCCCAGACACAGTTAAACTGCCCCCAGGTGTCTCACCCCAGACAGCGACTTCGAACCCCGCTCAGACTCGCACCCCTCCTATAATCAGAGACTTCTCGCACTCCGTGAGGAAACGTGAGCTGCGCATCTGCCGTAAAGACAGCACCCAGTCCCTTTACATCGACAAGCCAGAATGTGACTTGTTGCTCCATTTCTCCTCCTGCCCTCCCTCTGCTTCCTCCTCTTCATCCTCCATCTCCATGGTTAAGCTTTCTTCTCAGATCCAGCAACCCCAGGGGGAAACCTCCAAGGTGCAGAGACGCTTTTCTGACCCAGACATCCCCTACATGGACGGTGATGCCTGACCAAGCAAAAACCAAAACAATGAATTTATTAAAAAGGCAACAATGTACAAATAAATCCAGAAGTTGATCCAGATTTCAGAAGAGGATAAAAACCGCACACAGGAACAGGACCTGTGAGTGTGAGTGGAACTGAAAAAAACGTGATAAATTCACAAAGTCAGACTGAAGTGACGGTGATCAGCAGCTGTTACAGCTGTTACCAGAGGGAAACTAATCAGACTTTTGTCGTATTTGACAGTAAAATAACTGGACAAGTTATTGCTAAGCATCTTTTCTATCATTATAAGATATTGCGATTACAGGCTGCATCTTCTGTATCTGCTCAAAGATTGTTTTTAAATCTGTAAAACATGAAATTAATGCAGGTTACAGACACAAATTGTCTTTTTATTGTTCTCATAATGAGCAACATGTGCTCAACGAATTGTTTGCCTAGTGCCTTGATGTTTTCTACGGAGTTGATTAACTCACTTTTCATAGCATAATTATTGAACTACTTGTAGAGAGGGGGGTTAAATAGGTGACTTTAGATTTCTGTTTGTAGCCCTGAACGGACACATGTTCAGACCAAGGACCAAATCCTGCACATTCTGTTTGAATTATCCTTTACCTGCTGCACAACACACACCATATAGGAAGTGCTTTCAGTTAGCAAAGGGAAACAGAAGCAGCACTTGCCACTTTCTCCTCCAAAACACCGAAAGCAACACAAACCGTGATACCACAATGTTCTTCAAAAGCGCCTCGAAGTCACCCTCCCCGCTGAACGAACGTGATTTCACTCAGCTGTGGACAGTCTTTACGCTGAGCAAGTTCTGCTGAAGCGCAGCCTCAGCCAACGTTGTATAAAATGAAATGTAATACTAATGTTTCTCTGACTGCTGAATGATGTTTTAGTTTGGATTATGAGGAAGATGTTCTGATGTGTAACAGAGTGTATGTTTGGGACTGAATGATACAAGCTGGAATGGTTATTGGTATTAACATGGAAATACAGCACATGATGCTTGTAACACCTGCTTCTGTGTCTTTTCATTACCCACGAGTTTTGTGTCCAAACTGACAAAGCAAATAACAAAGCATTGTAAATTTTATAAAGTTGCATTATTTTGTGATGAGGACAATGTTACTTTCTCTCATACTTCTCTACCATAGAGGCAGGAGTTTACAGAAATCATGAAGCACAGATCATCTTACATGGGTTTAAATTAGGTAATTGTGAAGAAGCTATGAAATGTGATCCCTCTTTTTCATAAGAGTTATTGATGTCTTCACTTGTCCTATTAGGAAAAGTGATGATCTCACTTGGCACAAATCAGATGAGCTGGCATGTTGCTACAAAATGTTAAGTCATAAACGTGCCATCAAGTATTATTTAAATCACCAACAAGTAACTCCATACAGTCATGCCACTTTTTTGTTTGATTATATAGAGGGTTGGCAATCATTTTAGAGGTCCATCACCAACAACAACTTTAAAAAGAGCTGAATGTGAGACAGTACATAGTCAGAAAAATCCCATGTTCTACTTACTGGTAAATGTCTTAAGTAGAATTCACTAAAATGAGTTGAAGTTCAGTGGCATATTTAAAATAAAGCAGATAGAAACAGGATAGGACAGGATCGTCCCTCTGCACCTACAGTTGGCTGTCCGCAGCGACGAGGAGCTCCGCAGACTGCTGGGAGGAGTGGCCATCGCTCTGGGAGTAGTTCTGCCCGCCATTCGGGCAATCCTACAGCCGGAGGGAACCGAGAGGCCAGCCGAGTCTGGGTGGATGGATCGGACGGCATCTGCAGCCACTTTCTTAGGATCCACTGTGGGATGGACCTTTACAAGAGATCCTTCCTGTCTACAGCCATCAGCATCTATAACGTCTCTTAATGAAATGACAGTTTCAAAGTTACAACAAGAAAATAATTTCCCTTTGGGACTAATAAAGTATTTTTTAATTGAATTGAATATATATATATAGATATATATATATATAGAGATAGATGGATAGATAAATAATTTATTATTATTGTTATTATTACTACTACAATATTTAAGATAAAACTGTTGAGGCCATGCACGAACATTTTCAAATACTTTTTAGTTTGATTCCGTTCAACAAGGATGGACAGCTAATGCTCCGCCCACCATTCCGGCGCTCTGACGTCAAATTGACGCGACAGTGTTTCATCTTCAAACATGTCTTCCAGATTGGAGATCAATTTTATTAGATTGTTGTCTCGCTGTGAGACTATTGCGTCGGAGAAACGTGGAGAGACTGAATGGAGGTTAGACAAGGTAACACGGAACACAGAAAATGGAGGATTCCCGATAGAAACGCGGGTCTGTCTTGTTTCGACTGTGTTGTTAGCTGTGCGGCTGTTAGCCGCTGCAGTTAGCCACGTCGTCAGAAAACGGAGACTGAGCCGACCTGACTTTCATCAGCTGAAGAGCTCAGCTGTTTCATATTTTGTTCACGATTTGATAATTGGCAACAAATAAACATTCAAAAAGACACGCGAGAAATAGACTTTTAAGTTAAGCTAACACCACCTGTGGCATTTGGTTCACCATGGTAAAGTTACTCAGCAGTGTTTAAACTGTGTTTAGTTCTATTATGAACAGGCTTAAAGAGGGGTTTATCAAGTGGCCAATGAAAGGAAAGAAATTTATTGTAAAGTCTGTTCAATAAATGAATATTAATTACTTATTAAATATAAATGACTGAGAACTGCTTTTAGTTAAAATGTAAAAATGCATAGCATCTTATAGCCTGGTATTATTTTTATTAGTGCTGTCAATAATCAGGGTTATTCCTAAAAGCCTAAAAATTTAAAATCTCATTTATTCTTTATTTTGTGTCAACTGATTCATATGTTCCCGTAACTTTATAGTACAGTACTACCCTCCAGTATCCTGATACATGCTCAATAATCCAGGTAGAAAAATCTAATAAAGTTGTCAGGTCCTCTGGACAGATTCTTCTTGTTGAAACGTTCTTTCTTTTATCCAAGACATTTGGATAAACGTCTCTTGTTTATCTCTCGTCTCTTCATCACTCTTTCAGGGATGAAAATGTGCACATTTGTGAAGAGAAACCATCCATAGTTTAACAGGGGCGGAGGTCTCCATGTTCAACTGTCCCCCTCTTACAAAGCTGTTGGTGCTAGTATCGCTCAGCCCTCTGTGAATAGCAAGCAGCCATCAAGGCACTAAGGACCAGTTGTTAGGCTGATGGTCCTCCTTATCATGTGAACAGCTAGTTCTGGATGTCAGCAGCAAACTGGTTGATAAGAAGGTGCTGCTTATAAGACTGAGTTTATTGCAGCTCGTCAGACTGACGGTCTTTTGGATAAAAAATGAAACGTTTCGACAACAACAATTCGTCCAGAGGACCTGACTTAACTTTGTTAGACTATCCTAGTGTTCCTTAGGGCGAAACTGAAATGAAAGAAAATCCATTGTTAATGTAACAACAAAGTCCATGCTCAATAATCCAGGTATACAATCCAACATTTTTCAGTCAGGTCATCTGGACAGTTTCTTTTGCTGAAACGTTTCGCCTTCGATCTGGAAGGCTTCATCAGTCCAGGGAAAAAAAACAAGGAAAAAAAAAAAAAACGTCCAGATGACCTGACTGAAAAATGTTGGATTGTATATCTGGATTATTGAGCATGGACTTTTGTTGTTTTCAACCAGTTTGACACGACTGTCAACAAGGAAGAGGGCCGGCAATGGAGGAGGGGGCGTGACAAAGAGACCAACTTATCACCAACATAACTGGTTTGTTCCACTTTGGAGTAAGCTGTTGGGGGAAGAATCAGTTTTGTGTTGTGTGTTTCCTTGACTGATGAAGCCTTCCGGTTGCATTGTTAATGTAATTTTTGATCCCATATTTATCATATTCATCGCTGTTTGTTTTCTTTCCTTCAGTATGTTGCTGCCCTGGAGGAGATGTTGGTAGCTCTGAGGAAATGCCAAAGGTTGCTCCACTCTTGACTTTGAATATTTATTTATTTGAACCATTTGAAACAGCGACGTGATCAAGAACACTTTTGACTGACAAGTTATTCAAACTTCATTTTCATCGTTGGTCACGGTTCACGTCGTGGTTTAATTGTTAGATGTTGAGTGTTGCATAATTCCAGCTAGACGGGAACATCAGTGATGCTCCGCCGATTAATTTTTTGTTTTCGTTCAGCAAACCAACACAGGAGGTCCTTACTGAATACACAAGGAAAGTGGATTTTCTGAAAGGGCTTCTGGAAGCAGAAAAGCTGGTGAGATTTGAGATGAGTTTTATTTATTTTTTAATTCATCCATAGTATGTGTTTTAGCTGTATTTTTAATCATGCATCTATACATTTTTTCCCAAAAAAATTATTTGGAAAATTTGAAGATTTTATATTTTTGTGAAAACAGTTTTCTAATATCTCTTCCTCAGCCCTCACCAACAGAGAAGGCTTTAGCCAATCAGTTCCTCGCCCCCGGCCGCACGCCCACCATAGCCAATGAGAGGATGCCTGCCAGTAAAACGGTTCATCTGCAAACAAAGGCCAGGTGTACAGGAGAGATGAGGGATGAGCTGCTCGGCACGGTGAGATAAGATGTGTGCTGAGTGACTGACGTGCAGCTTGGTCAGGGTGTTCATTGTTTAGGATTTTTCTGGTTTATGTTTTTTTTTTTTAGTTTTTTTTTTAGTTCTCTGACAAATTCTTTTAGTCATTTTTACCTTTTCCCTTGGGTAGTTTGAGCATTAAAGTTGAAAAGCCTCAAACTGTTGAACGTGTTTAACTCGTGTTTTTTTTCTGTAATTGCAGCACTCCTCTGGTAAAGGTAAGAATTGTTTTAAAGATCAGATGTCTTGTTTTCTAACCTGTTCAAATAAAGAGTGCCCTGTTTTGTTTGTTTATTCTTTCAGGCATGTTGGATTCAGATCTAAGAAACAGAAGGTAAAGCCTGACTCATGATGGATACAAGACACCGTGTTGCTCTCTTTCATCATAAAATCATCTTACAAAATCCTTAAACTCTGCAGGGGTCTCCCTGTGGACGAGCGTCAGTCTGCTGCCGAGCTAGACGCCATCCTGCAGCGCCACCACAACCTGCAGGAGAAACTGGCAGAGGACATGCTCAGCCTGGCCAGAAATTTGAAGAACAATACCCTGGCGGCACAAAACATAATCAAGCAGGACAACCAGGTAGCTTTATTCAACATGAGAGCTGCTGAACCGAAACGGGGCAGGAGGATTTATCAGCTGGATCATGAATGTTGTCGTTTTCTGATGAGAAGGCCCTCTGTTTTTCAGAACCTGTGGCTTTAGAGCTGACGCGTTTATTTAAGTTGTGAGAACGCACTGTAAAGTTCCTTGTTCTCAGTTCTATTTATTTCATTATTTTTAACAGAATTGGCTTAACTGCCTTTCTAAACAATTACCGTATTTCCCACCGTACACGTCGCATCAGTCCAAATATGTCTAATAAAGTGGAAAAAAACATAATTAAGTCGCTTCGCTGTATAAGTCACATCTATTATGCGTCACCGCTGATCACCCGGACACATGGGCTGGTGTTGTGCCAAAAATCGATTGGCTGCCTGATGGCGGCCGCGGGAGTGTGCACGGGAGGACTTTTAACAGGATTAACACTTAAAAACAATTCTTTGTTTGCTTGACATTATAGCAAAGGTGTGTCTCAGTTGAACTTTTCCATAATAAATGCACTTTGATGGTCAAATCAGCTGTATTTCACCTGGGCAGCGTGGCAAAATGCAGCTGATTTGATGTTTGCTCCAGGAGTTCTGGAGCGAGATGAAGGTGGCTTGTATGGCAAGCCAAATGTCTCATTAATAGCCACTTTTACCTGTTGTTATTGAGACACTTGGCTTGCCTTAAGGCTTGAGACCCCTCTAGTGGCTGCAAATGGTAGTGTTTAATATTTGACATGTCAGAATGAATGTAGTTGTCAGATCTCAGCCAAAAATTGCGTTATAAATATGGGAAAAACGTATATTAGTCACTTCAGGACTTGCAAATTTATGCAAAAAGGTTCAACCTATATGTCGAAAAATACGGTAAATTACAGTTCTCTAATCTTTTCTCCTTTTGTACGCCACTTGTCTTTGCTGATACTCACCACAAGAGGGCAGCACAAGACTTCTAACCACCTATGGGGGATTCTTAACATCTCACCTGATTTGTCTTCCAGACTCTGACCCAGTCCATGCGTCAGGCAGACCTGAACTATGAGAAGCTGAAGACGGAGTCCGAGCGCTTGGAGCAGCACACGAAGAAGTCCGTCAACTGGCTGCTGTGGCTGATGCTCATCTTGGTCTCCTTCACCTTCATCAGTATGATCCTGTTCATCCGAATCTTCCCCAGGCTCAGATGATGACTGTGCACAAAAATGAACTCTTAGTCCTCGACATCCTTCCTGGTTTTACAGGAGCAGTAGCTGTGCAGGCCTCCTTAGAAATATAACAAACTGAAATGTTTGAGCCCCCGAAGGTGAAAGTTTTCCCAGGAAGTGCTCTAAAACATTCTTCGTTCTTTTTATGTTTTTTTTTTTTTTGTTTTTTTTTAACCCAATAGGACATAAATGGAGGTGAAGTGCTACCTGATCTGGAGTCAGGAGCAAATTCTCATTCAGAAAAGACAAATTGGGACTAAATGTTTCCGTTCATCTGTGATCTGCTTGAGTCGAGAAGAATTTGGTTTATTTAATGTTATTTTTACTTTAACCTCGGTTCAGTGTTTAGCAGCATATAAACACTTAATAGCTCATATGCAACACTCTGACATGGAGTCACAAGAAGTACTTTAAAAACTAATTTAATATATTTATCAGCAGCCGTCCGATGGCGACAATAATCCATCTGCTTCTAACGTCACTGTATCCACAATCCACTTAATGACACCAACAGTTAAACCAATACAGATAAGGTGGCATGGTGTTATTATGCTGTTTGTTCAGGTTGATTCTCCTGTGACATCAACCTGTTTGAGACGTCTGCTGACAGTTTCTGTGTTTGAGACCATTTCTGTGATGAGTTCTGATGCTGCTGGTGTTGAAGGAGTTCTTTGTTCTCATTAAATGTCTTGAACACCATGTTCTTTCCTGTGTGAGAACTTCCACAAAGGTGTGAATGAAAAATTAGGAACTGGGTGTACCCTGCCCCTCGCACAGCGATTGTTGGACATGGGCACCAGAGACCCCTGTGATCCAAAATGGAATAAGCGGGTAAAGATAATGGATGGATGGATGGAAGTTGTATCCATATTGGCTAATCGTTGAAAATAACATTGCAAAGGAGTACGTGTTGTGAATGACTCTCAGCTGCCATCACTTTAAATGTCCTCAATATCTAAAACTGAAGATATCGACATTTTTAATTTCAAGGTTCTTTATTGTCGTTTGCATCACATGGTACATGAGGTGGAATGAAATTGTGTACTTAAGGTCCCAGTTACACCCAAAAATATAAAAGTATAAAAAGAAATGGTAGCCTATATATAAGGATCTAAGATATTTTCATTCATTCAACCTTTATTTAGACAGGTTAATCCCAGTGAGCCTCAGGGACTCATTTACAAGAGAGACCTGATTTTAACAAAGAGTGATGACAACAGTAGACAATCAAAGGATGCATACAAATTAATTTTTTTTAACAAGCGAAAATAAAATGGTAATTAAAAAGAAAAGTTGCGAAACAACAGCTAGAAAACTAAAAACGGGAACATGTCTGCATTGGGTTTTGCCATGAACTTAACAGATGTTTAAAGCCACTTAGAGAGGTCACGGTCGAGAGCAGAGTAGAAGGCCACTATATACGCCAAACACTAAAAATGTGCAATAATACAGTATATTAAACAGCAGTCTGAACACGAGTCTAGTGAGCAGATTGGTATGAGTACAGCAGCATAAAGGCAAGAGATCAGCAGCATGAATAATCAGCAGTAGAGATCAGCAGTCACATGTCAAAGTGGCATTACAATGTTTTTTTTTTAAATGTTAGCTGCAGCAACCATCTTGAATAGGGTTATTTTCTGCAAGTTTGATTAAAATCCGTCCATTGGTTCATGAGATATTTTGCTAACAGACGCACATTTTATTTATTTTTATTTATTTAGCCTTTATTTATCCAGGTTAGTCTCATTGAGCCACAGAACTCATTTTCAAGAGAGACCTGTTTTTTTTTTTTTAGGGAGCACATGGTGGGGGTTAAGGGCCTTGCTCATGGGCACAGAGTGGGGCGAATGAGGGTGGGGGAAAGTGTGGGTGTTTCACCTACCCCACCCACAATTTTTGATGTTGTCGGGGCCGGGGCGTGAACCGGCGATCTTCGGATCATAAGCCCACCTCTCTAACCTCTGCGCCACCACTCCCCTAAACATGAGTTAAAACTGTGGTTTTTGAAGCGGTGCAGTAACTCCATGTGACCTCTGAGTGTCAGCGAGGACACATGGGCCACATCGAACCAGGACCTCTGTGACCCTGGTAGCCTGATCAGCCTTTCAATCCTAAATTAACTCCACTGCTCATTTAGAGAAGCCCTGAGGCTTCAAGTTCAGCTAAACAAACAGTTTGCTGCAGAAAAACTGGAGCTGAGTTTAAGCTCATAGAAATATGGTGTCAGCTGCATTTGTCCATCCATCCCAGACATTAGCTGCTAATTTCCCTTTAGCTGTTAACTTTCAGTCTGAGGACCTGAGCAGCTTGTTCGTGCTTGCAGCTCGGCCTCCCGTCCTCCTAGTGGCTGCTCCTCGAGTATTTTAGGATCCCTGGGGGTATGTTGCCTGCTGGAAGCTGTGGTATGCAAGCTACCACGAGACCAAATGAGGCCGTGTCAAAGCAGGAGGCTCATCATCATCTCAGTTTAATCGCAGCTGTTTGCGCCTCATTTTCCCTCCAGGTTTTTGTTCGTGCCCCGTCTGTGTGGTCTGCAGCACAAACACGACTCCATCCCCAGTGCGGTTTCTCCGGTCTATTATGGTTTTTATGATCCCATTAGCTGAAAGAGACGTTTCGTTTCCAAAGCAGCCTCCAGAGTCTGAGACGTGGAGATAAGTCTGCAAGTTCCTGGAGTGAGAAAATACCTCTGACTCGTTAGGAGTTCTCTTAACCTTTGACCCAGGAAACCTGAACAAGTTCCTTCCTGAAGTCTTTTCCCACAGAGGTGTTCTGAAAATAGTGTCAGGTTTGTTCAATTTGTCCTCATCAGTTCAATAACAGCTTTTCCTGACAAAGCAGGGGTCACTGGCTGGAACTAGAAGTGTCAAATAAAACTGGAAGCTCAGCTGTGAAACACTTCAGCACTGGGAAAAATAAAAAATAAGGTGAATTAGCTCAGTTTGTACCAGTAAAACCTTAACAAAATTCATAAATATTTACTAAAGTGCTTCTTTTCTATACGTTGACTGAAGCTTAGCAGCTTTTAAAGAATTGTCTGTTCTATCGTTTAGATTTTATTCTGAAAAGTTTAACTTTGAGACACCAAACTGCTTGAAGTTCAGTTGTTGGCACTGAGCTGCATCAGAACATCAGCTGATATTGAATCATCTATTGAATTTAATTAGGTTAAGTTCTCTTAAAGGCAGATAAAAACGTTATTAAACTTCTCAGAACAGCTCATCCACTTTATTAATTTAGTTTTGAGCAGCAGGAGCACCGAGGATTTGATTTGCCTACAGACATGTCTTTTTTTAAATTCCCCTCCTCTTTTTTCCACACTTTCTTGATCGAGCAGATAAATCTGAAGACTTTTCCTGCTCCTTCTGTTTCTATTGCACCAACATTTGGAACAAATTATGTTGTTTAAAAAAAAAACTAATAGGTTGCACTTCTCAGCTATTATATGATAATATAGCTATAATATTCATTGAATATTAGTAGATAAATACAGTATATATCAGCATCACTGACAAAAAACAGGTTTTTTATGTTGTTGTTTTTCGTGGGGCTCTAAACTTTACAAAGTTTTCGGCTGATCTGGAGTGGGTTGATTTTTATCTCCCAGTTTGTCGCCTGCACAGTTGCTCTGTGTTTCACGGCTTTTATAGCTGCTGTTAGGTTTTCCCTCAGCAGCTGAGCTCTCTGAGTCAGGCCTCCAATTGGAGCGCTGCTGAGCATCACTGAAGACGATAACTTTCACCTCTCACACAGTTTATGTGATCTAACTGTTTAAATGCTGAGTTATAGCATACTTTGTGCTGTTTTAGCCATTCACATAAATAGTTTTAGCTTTTTTTGGCTAGCATTTTGCTACTTATCCAGTGCTGGGCTTATTTTAGCGAGTGCTTTCTTTCTTTTAGTTAGTGTTTACTGCTTTTAGCAAACATTTAGCTTCTTATTAGCTACCATTTTGCTATTTTTTAACCCTTTTGCTCTTTTTTAACTTAAATTTAAGCAACTCACCTTCAGCTTCTTCAACTAAGTCATTCAGCACTTAGCATTTACTGCATTTTCACAGAAAATGTGCTTATTCTATTAATTTTTTTCTTCTTTCTTAGCTGTGATTTTTGGTGTCTGTCCATGTTTGCGTTTTTTTTGTTTTTTTTTGCAGTCTCCCATCCATCAGTCTCCCAGCTTTGTGTCAACTGGCAATGAAGAGCAGAAAACCTCCCTGCTGGTTTCTGTTCAGCCTTTGATGAACGAAGTACAGGTAGCTGTTGAGAGGCTTATGTATATATATATATATATATATATATATATATATATATATATATATATATATATATATATATGCTTCTTTTCTCTTTCACTGTTTAGTAATCCTGAATCTCCCAGCAGGCCGGACTGACGGCTGATGCTGATCTTAACAGGGAGCTTTGAGGACTGATGCCATGAGCACAAGCTGGTGAAACATGAGATGGAAGATTTCAGGATAAATATTGGTTTTCTTGCTTTCGGTGCAGCTATCAAACCTGTCTGATGTTGTTCTAACAAATCAGAACATTTTCACCATTCAAGTTCTTCTCAGACATATTCTGGGTTGTTTTATTAAGCATGTAAATTACAGCAGCAGCTGGTGAGGAGAGGGGCCTAAGAACCTGTTTTATTGGATAAAGTGAGTTTAGCAGAACTGTTCCTCCAAGTTTGCATTCAGAACTTTAAGACAGGAACTTGCAGATGTCTTGGATAGGGTGCATATTTTTCTACGAGCAGACAAAGCCCAGACAGGAAGGCGACCTTGAGGGTGAAATCTCTCAAATGTGCTAAAGCGAGCATGGAGCGGAAACCGGGCCTGGAACTCCAGTCGGAGCTTGTGGTTTAAAATCCAAACTGGACTCTGTCATTTTTTTTCATTCTATCACATTTTAAAAAGCGAAAAGGTACAAATTTGTTTAAAGAAAGCGCCACACGTCTTTTCAGCTCAACAACTCTAAAACAGTCACTGTGT